GAGCTCTATTATAGGAATTGGCTCAGGCTATTATGGAGGCGGAGAAGTCCCACAACATGCTGTCTGCAAGCTGGGAAGTGGGAAAGCCAGTGCTGTAACTCAGTCCAGGGCCAAAGGCCTGAGCACTGGGGTGCCACTGGTGTAAGTCCTGGAGCCTGAGGCCTGAGAACCCAGAGCTCCAATGTCCGAGGGCAGGAGAAGGTGGATGTCCCAGCTCAGGAGGAGAGAGAGAATTCACCCTCCCTCTGAGTTTCTGTTCCACTTGGCCCTCAATGGATTGGAGGATGCCGGACCACAATGGTGAGGGGACCACAATGGTGAAGGCGGACCTCCTTTTCTCAGTTTACTGATTCCAATGCGAATCTCTTCCGGAAACACACTCACAGACTCACTCAGAAGTGATGGGTCACCAGCTACCTAGGCATCCCTTAGCCCAGTTAGGGTGACACATAGAATTAACCATCACAAACAGTAATGCTATTATTCTTTCGAATATGCAAGTACTCTTTCTTTAAATGTTTTTAAAGCTTTTAAAACACCTGGAACAACTAATAACCAAAATTATATTTCATATCAGTTTGCTACATTTCATTTGACAGGACCAAGCCACTTCCTACACTGGGAAATAAATTATACACACGCACACATATCTATGTGCTTGATTATATACCATACAAATGAAATTCTAACTGTAGTAGTGGTGGGACAAGCAGCTCCTGACATGACCCCCAGTGACCTTCACCTTCTAATATTCACGCTCCAGTGTAATCTGCTCCTCGTGTTATGAAAAGTCACACCCAGGGAGGCTGTACCTTTCCCAAGGGCAATTAGGAGTAAGTATGCCAAGCTGGTGGGAAAGGAACAAATTCCTAGTGAGTTCCAAGACTCCACTGGAGATATTTTATCACATGGAATGAGTCAAGTCAAATTCCTCGGAGAGATTCCGTGAAGGAATCATTTCCTATCATGCATTCAGATTAACAGGTTCAATAGCACCCCCTCATGCTCCCACACATGCTGTACTTACATATGACAGTAGCTATCACACCTATGGCTTAGGCTGCCTCCTCCATTAGACTTCAGACTTTCTTACCTCAAAGGCTGTCTTATTCACTGGGATGTCATAACAGAGCACAGGGCCTGACACATAGCACGTGTTTCTTATGTTCGCTGAATGAAGAAATAATTTATGTTGGTACTCGCGTCCACTTGATGGGTTATTTTAATGGTATATGTTAGGGAAAGTGCGAGTTTTTGTCTTGTTTTAAAGTCTCTTGTAGTAGCTTTCCTGGGCACTTTAAATAGGTCTTTGTGTCTCCGGTGTCTCTAGCACATAGTGGCACCTAATAAGTATTTGTGAATGAATGAATGTCACAAAAAGGCTGCCAAGCACCAGAACTGATAAGAACCCATACTTATGAAAGACTTAGTGTTCCACAAAGACAGCTGTTTGCCTATCAATGATGATGTTGATGATGATGATAACTTTTCTTCCTTCTGAAAAGAGGCATGAACATTTGCAAAATACTCTTCAATAAAGACAGATTCTTGTCTAGGTCTTAGCTAGTGACTGCTCTTAAATATTCTTTTATAAAAGACAACAAGTGACATATAACTTAAGAAATCCAAATAACCTTAGATTCAAAATTGGAAAATTTCTACCTCCTTCAGCATTAGTTTCTGAGGCATTACGGAAATTGCATAAACATACAGTCACACAGGCCCACAGTAATATGGAGAAAAGGAGAAAGGCAGCTACCCAGCATCCTCTCCCTGTTCGATTATCAATTAAACAAGAGACAAAAGAGCAAAGACAGGCTGAGGGGGATTTGTGCCGGGGCATCACCAGGCACCGCTGGTCCCCTCCTGAGACATACTTACTGGCAGCTCAGGGGCACGCTTCAGGACCTGCAGGGCAATGTAGGCGCCAATTGAATGGCAAACAAGCACCAGTTTCATTTCCTTTGGCACGTGGGTCCTCAGGAAAGCTACCTTGTGTTCCACTTGACCACTGAGTCCATAGACATCCTTAATTTCTTGAGCATTTGGGTCTAAAAGCAAAAGTATGAACATGTTTTCATTCAGTAAATGAAAGCAAATAAATTCACTATGAAAAATATCTTGAGAAACTGTAACAACAGTAGTTTATTTATTTAACGCATACGGTGCCCTCTTAGCTACAGTGTTAGGCACAACAACCCTAGAAAGGAAGTATTATTACCTTCACCGTATAGATGAAAATCCCAAAGCTCACAGACATTAGGTGATAGACTGACAGCCACATACCTATTCAATGGGAGGGGGAGATTCAAACCCAAGTCTCTCTGTCCTCAAAGCCCACGAACTTTCAAATACTCCACGAACTACTGTTAGCTTGGGCCAATGGTTCTCAAACTCGAGCATACACTGGGACCCTCTGGAGGCCTTATGATAACATTGATTGCTGGGCCCATCACCAGAGCCCCTCGTTCGACAGGTCTGGGTTGGGGCCTGAGAATTTGCATTTCTAAGTTTACAAGAGACGTTGATGTTGCTGCTCCTAAGACCACACATTGAGAACCACTGGTTAGGCGAATTTATATTATTAATAAACAACTAAGAAAATCCATGACATTGCTGCATTATTTTAGACAATCTTTGCTTGAAGACCTCAGACTGAAAGACTGAAGTAGCAATGTTGTCAACTGTTTATTTCATCCAGCACAGTCGTGACCCGAAATAGCCTCTCTTCCTTTCATAGATGAACTGTCTTCTAGGTTCTTCAAGACTAATTAAAACTATCTAGCTAATCTTCAAGAAAAATGAACAGGCCTTCCTTTGTGCATAACCAGTACTGCACTCTTACTATGGCACGTTGTCACGCTTGTATGATTGTCTGATTATTTCCTCTCTTAGGCTGTGGGCTCAGCTCCTTGAAGGCAGGGTCCATCTTTTCATCTCAGTGTCATCTGTGATTAGCACACAGTAAATATTATTACTGAGTGAAAATATGCAACAACTGGATGAGCTGAGCATGCTGCCAGCTCCAATATTCCATAAATATGGAAAACTCCAACGCTTTTCCCTGTGAATATAGACACGTATACAACCCCAATGACAGAGGGCAGTATTTCAAAACATCACAAGGTAGTCAATTGCTTCCTAAAATTTCAATCACTGGAATACTGAATTTCTTGCCACCGTGACTCCTGTGAGGTCGCGATGCGAAGTATAATGAGCCACAATGTGGCGTACTCAAAAGGTGTCCAAAAGTCACCCAGTGTTACCTGCACCTGCGACCTGCTGTTTCTATTTCCTTCAGTGGCCAGCTCGCTTCTTGGTCTGGATAACTTCTCTTCATCCTTCAAATTCTTAACAAGTGTCCTCTCCTCTGAGAAGCCTTTTTATGATTCAGGGGGCGAGGAGTAAAGTAGCTGTTCTTTCAGTTTCCACAACCCCATGTTTCTCTGACCATACTGCCCCTCATTTGCTCCTACTGTACAATTCATGCCGTGCTTATCTGTTCTCCAATGTCTGTACTGAAGACTTTCTTTTTTAAATTGAATCAGTGAGGGTTATTTCCCTAATTCTGTGGTACTGCTGATCTCCCAGGTAAGACATGCTCTGCCCTAGTCCTTCTTCCCAGGTCAGCCTAGAATTCATTCTCTATTTAACAAGGAAGCGCAGCATAAAACAGAATTGGGAAGAGACAGAAACTGGAAATCTGACTTTGGTAGGGCCCCTGATGACTCCAAGCCCAAATGTTTATTTAATATTATTTTTAACTTCGAGTAGTTTATACTCCCCTACCTTCTCTGATCACTCCACCATGTTGATCATGTTGTTCTCTGATACCCCAAAACCCAACACCTATAATATCTGCAACCCAAGTTCTTTATTTTTCACAATATGCAACATTTGAACGTGTCAGTCTTCCTTTCATTGGGACGGGATCGTGGGCACTGGAGGCAGAGATGCCTGGTTAATCACCTTACCAACTGGGTGATGTGGGCATGGACTGAGCTTCAGTCTCCTCACGTATATAACAGAAAAAATTCTATGCCCACAGGAATGTTGTTTGCACAACACCGTTAAAGCACACAGCACAGTGTCTGGCATAAACTGTTTGAGAAATGAAAGTTATGACTGCTATCATTTCAATTCCTGTCATTTAGGTCTTCCCTCAGATATATACCAAGAACCTTAGCATGGTTAGAGCAAGGAGAAAGAAAATGAGTTTAATACAATAAACATTTTAAAACTTCACTGACACCAGAAATAAGGTTCTAAAATATTATATTTCAGATGAAAGAACATTATAATTCAAATGATTCAAACGAATATTTCAGAGATAAACCTGGCTTTACCTCTGGAAGTGCTCTGTAGATTTCCAAGATTAACAAACTACTTTTGTTTGCTGAAAAATGAGAATAGAAAATTAAAATGTGCTATCCATACATTATTTTACTAGCAAAAACTAGAGGTTAAGAGACTATGTATATACTTGACTATATATTTTTATGCCTATTAAGATTTTAATATACTCTGAAAAAACTGCCAGCAATCATTAAGTTATTCTTCATAAAATACAGTAAAACATTACATTCAACTGTGTCAAAATCAGACTACTAATAATATGGACATGATTTATATCATTCTTTCTATAGGGAAAATGTACTCCAAGATGCAATCAACTAAGTACATTTGGAAAATAATGTTTTAAATTGAGAACTGCTTGAATTGATAGATATTAATGCAACTCACCATATCCTATTCAACACAAGAGTATGGTCTTGAATGTGATTTGAAAGGTTTCCTTTTAGAACCTGACTCTGTTTCTTAGACCCATCTCTATGAATTCACTTTACAGCTCACTTATTGATTCTGGAGTTTATTTCAAAAGGTACATATAGTCTGTTCCTAAGTAGTTCATAGATGAATTAAGTAATACCAGTATTTCACATTTACTTTCCATCTAGTTCAAATCCCAGTTATTAAAAGTTTGTCAATTCTGGATCAAAATATCATGCATCCCTTATAGCTTCAGGACACAGGTAAATCTGATAACTAGTATTTTCTTCCATTTTACACGAACTAAATTGGCTACTCTGACAAAAAACAGTGACTAATTGGTCCATGGTAATATTGAAAATATAGATATAAACACAATATACTCCCCTTGTCTTAAAGGGGTTCACAGTCTAATAAGAGGAAACAGAAACAGATAAAAACACAATCATAAATTACTGAAGTAAGAATATGTCAAGTGTTTCCTTGAGAAAACAACGGAGTTTTATTGGATCACAATAGAAAGGTAATGCCTGTTTGGATTCATAAAGTACTGTGCCGTTCTCCAAGTAACCCAAGATAAATAAGTAGGTAACAGTCTTTCCTACATGCACTTTAGTATAAATACTGGGGGTGCCAAAAAAATGGACATTTTGGTCAGTGTTGCTCAAGCAGTAGTTCGCCGTCATCAGAAGTGTCTCGACACTGATGGTGACCACTCCGAGCACCTCTTGTAATTGCAGAAGTCAAACGTGACTTGTATTCATCTTTTGTTATCAGTATATATTGAGTATTACAATTAATACAGTTTTCCTTCTTAAAATGTGTATACATTTTTTGGCACCCTCAGTATATAACTTTACATATTTGAATGCAGTCACAACGGTCTACGTTTAACAATAAATATTTAGCTATACACACATACGTACATGTGTCTACACATTGAATATGAATGCATAAGTTTTGCTATATATTTATAAGTCACCAATGACCACAAGACTAAATAAAGGTCAGCGTTTCACGAGACTTTTGTTAGGTCTGAGTCTGTGGACAGTAAAGTTCTAAATCTTACACCAGGGTTTTCTCAACCAGTAAACTCTCCCATCCTGCCCCTATTATCCCTCCAAATCTAGTGACTTTAAATGAACAACTTACATGTAGAGAATAAAAGGCTGAAAATAGCACATGTTCTAAAGAATGCTTTGAGCAAGATGGATATACAGTTTACACTTTAACGTTTTAAAAACACACAAAACAATATCATATGTTGTTTACCATTACATATATGTAACTAAAAATATAGACAAAGACATGACATTGACTCTAAATTCATGATAGTAGAACTGGAGATAGGATACAAAAAAGGGAAAACTTTTTCTGTATTGTTTTATATCATTTACTTTATTAACAAAAAATATGCAATTATGACATAGTGTTAACTATCAACAGAGTAGTGAATAACAGAATCTGGACTGTTATGTGTTTGTACTTTTGTGTAGTTTGAAAAAATTTCTCAAAATAAAAGAAACATTTTAAATTAAGAATGCGTTGACATACTGTTCCTGGCTATCTTCCATCAATTTTATGGGGCAAACCACCATCACTTCTTCATTACTCCCAATGGAGTACGAAAGCGCCAAAGGACTTTATCTAGGTTCATGCTAGACACCAGTGACGCATGGATGAGGGCTGTCTCCAATTCTTTACGCTTACTTAACTCACTGATCCAAAGGTCTTCCTTTCACGACTGTCCCCTGAGTTTACTAAACTGATGTGAAAGTACACGCTCATAATTTAGGTCTCAACCGTCCCCAGCTTCCTAAGCATTTTGTAAGTCCCTGTGTCTAAATGCTGGTGTGATTCTGTTAGCCTTCAATGTATGCAATACAGTTAAAACTGCTACCTTACTTAAAAAACAAACAGAAAACTTTGGAAACCCCAAACATGTCTTAGAGAAGAGTTTTTAGTTATTATTCTCCAAATGGATGGTGAAACCAGGGCAATCAAATTACACTTAACACTTGACTATAACCAACAATCTGCCTAAGAATTTCAATGGGGAAATATGGAGGTGGGGAAAGTGAGAGAGATTGATTCAGCAAGGAGAACATAATGCTATAGACTTAGCAAATAGTAAAAGCAAAAGACATAGAAGTGTGAGGGGTAATTTTGGACACAGCTATGATTTCTGTGGCTGTTTGTGGTTACAGGGGGAGGTGGAACAAATGAGGTTAGAAAGGCAGGTTGAGACTAGTCAAGGAGGCCGGGGAACATCACCAAGGAGTCAGGGCTCCATTGCGTGAGCCGTGAGGAGGCACCTACGGATAGTGAAGGGAGGGGCAGCCCTCTGGTCTTGTCACAGGACATTACTGGCAGTGCTACCCTCGCTAGTCCTGCTATGCTTCCTACTTCTGTCTTCCCCGAGACTAATCATTTGCCTGATTCTTAACTTCTTCCCTTGGTCTACCTTTTGTTTTCCTGTGTCTTCTCACCTACTTGAAGACCTTCATGTTTATTTCTCGTGACTGTGAGCCCCGAGACTTGATTGACTGATTGTCCCCGCCTTGGGCTCATCCAGCCATTCCATTTCACCTCCATGTTCCCCTGCCAATCACAGTCCTGGCAAGAGAGAAAGCTCTACTGGGTTTGCTCACTCTTTCAGTTTGAGGTACTGGAATGTTAGTGGTTTATTGTTTCTTTGGATAAGCATGACCCAAATTCATCATTAGTTGAAAGATTGTGTAACTTTTTAGATAATGTTTTATCAGCTGAAACTAAACCACTATGATTTCCAGCTTTTATGTTATACTTTTAAAACAAATGACTTAAAATAGTTGATAATGAATCTGCCATCAAGGAAGCTGACTATATGGTAAATCAAAGCCAGAAAGAGTTTATACTTCTAATTCCTCAAATTTTCTTTTCACACTTTTTTTTTTGAATCACCCCCTTCTGACATTGGTGAACATCTGTTCTCCCAATTATACTCAATTTATGACTGTGATAATGTGGTGCAACGAGAATATTATTTCCAACTGTTCATAATTTTAACATGTGCTAATATGAAGCAAAACATTCTTTCAACATTTGATGTGTGGTTATAGCTTATGTCCTTTCTCTCGATGATTACATATTTTTCACACCATATTTTGCACGTCAGAAAACCTGTACTTTAGAATAATAATCTTGGATGATGAATAATATATCTATCCTTCCTACCCAAAGCAATCTACTCTAGCACGCATTTGTAAACATAACCTTCAATATGTAAAACAGATAAAAGTAGACCGGTCCTGGCTAAACGGGGGGGGGGGTGCCAGTGAGCCCCAGAACTTCATAGAACTTCACAGAACTTTTGGGCTACTCAGAACACAGGTGAAATGTCACTAACCTAAAAGATGGCATTCCTGTTTCTATGTACACCTCTGCAGCACTGCACGTAACAACCTAGTAGGTTGTCTGTAAAGCCTTGATGATGACGAGTTGCCCTTTCACCTCCTCTAACCACAGCTTCCTTTGGCCCTGTGGTGGCCCTTTGGGCTAATGCCTCTAGATGGCACTGTTCTCATTAGGTAGCAAAGGACCCAGGCTCTAATTACTAAGTTATTAACTCAATAGTACAGAAGCAGCCTAAGCAATAAGCATACTCAAAATAAAGTTATAAATAACAAGATGTCAATTTAAACCAAGAATTAAAGACATTTCCCAGAAATTCGCACACAGCATATACTTTCTACTTGCTTTCCTCACCAGTGTTTACTGGTGAGGTGGTTCTGAAAACGTGGTCCCAGGACCAGCAGCATCCACATTACCCAGGAACTTGTGAGAAACGCAAATACTCAGGTCCCACCTCACAGCAACTGAATCAACACCTCAGAGGGTGGCGCCCAGTGGTCTGTCTTCATAAGTCACACCAGGGGATTCCAAAGCGTGCTCAGCTCTGAGAACCCCTGATCTAGCGTTACCCTTTGAGAGTCTATTTTCACCTTTCAAAGATGCTATTCACGTTCTGTTCAAATGTCTGCTTTATTGAACCTAAAATCTTCTTTGGGCATATACGAAGTAACTTAAAACAATAAAAATATATCATTTAAAATATTTCACAGCAAAGCAAGTATTTGCTACACATTTTATTCACTTTCAGTCACATTTCAATACAATGGTTGTTGAAATAGATGTTTTGAATCAAGGCAATAAAATCTGAATATTTAGTTTCAAGTCACTACTGCTCTAAAACTCGTTTGCTGCTAGGTAATCAACATTTACTTACTTTTCCAAGTATACCCTAGTCTTTAAGCAAAGTGTAAAAGGCTCTCAACTAAACTGCATTCATAGAGAAATACACACATATACATGTAGAGAGAAAAAGGCACTATGAAGGAGGCACTTTGAGGTGTTTATGCAAGCATTTGCAGTGAGTTGCATTGTTTCATCTATACTTCATTTACCCTGTCCCCCTTACGAGTCATAGCAGGAAAAGGGTCACATACTAGGGTATAACCTGTGACCGTGGAAGGGCTAACCTGAGAATTGGCTCATAGAGTAACGAAACCTGAAAACGTGGTCTCGTTAGCACTTTGCACTAGCCACCTGAGATGACCCACCAGCAGCACTAGAGCGCTCACTGAACTAAGTAACCAAAGTGCTGGCCTCCTGTCTAGTTCTGACACTCACCAGCAGAAGGTCATTCAGTCCTGCTGGGCTTTACCTCTTCCTTCCTTGAAAAATAAGGGTTCAAGGTGGGATTTGATGTAGACACTTTTAGGTCTAAGATTCTATAATTCTTTTACCTTTCTTTAAAACTTTTTTTTTCCAGTAGTGGAATCTTTCCAACGTACACAAAAGTACAAAGTTTAGCATAATAAACCCCCATGTACCCACTGTGCACTTCCTACAATTATTTTTTTCTTTTTCTCCAGCTTTATTGAATTATGATTTACAAAAAAAATTGTTTATAGTTAGGTTGTACAATGTGACTGTTTTTAAAAGTGTACAATGTGATGATTCAATAAACATATACTCGCACATTGTAAAATGACTGCCACAATCCACTCGACACGTCCATCACCACACATCATGTAGTGTGTCTGACATTAAGCTTTTGATTAACAATGCATCCATTTCGAAAGACATCCATCTTGTATGTCCCAGCTACTAGCAAAACAAGCAGATAGAGAACTAGGCCGCCCCCACCCATGAAGGTCCCCTTCAGAAAGACTTGGGTAATCTAGATAACTGACTGCTTCAGTGACCCAATTCTCCCTTCCTGCGCCTGCTTTCAGCTCTTATACTTTAAATTAGCCAAAAAAGAGTGAACCCCTGAAACCCTAAACACCCCACCCTCAACTCTGATAACGGCAGAGCCTCAGGTCTCCTCTCTCTCGCTTTCTCTTCCTTTCCCCCTCCGCCATGTACCCTCCAGAACCTATAATCAATCTTGCTCCTCCAAGTTCTCTGATGGTTTCTGGCTGGAGTGTGTCCTGCAGTCAATAACAAGAACCACGAGCGCCAGCCCAGCCATAAGCAGAGGTCTCGGTGGAGGAAGTGTCTGTGGAGCGTCCCACCAGCGAGGTGTGCCCGGCAAGAGCGCTACCGGGCCCTGGAAATTTGATCCCATTGAGCTCGGGACGCAGAAACAGTTAGCTTCTGTTGTTGTTACGGTGAGAACACTTAAGATCCCCTCTCTTGGCCAATTTCAACGACATAATACAGTATTATTAACTATAATCGCCATGCTGTATATTAGACCCCCAGAACTTATTCATCTTACAACTGGACGTTTGTACCTTTGACCAACATCTTCCCTTCCCCCCGCCCCTCAGCTCCTGGCAACCACAGTTCTGCTCTCTGGTTCTATGAGTTTGGCTTTTTTGGATGCTACATGTAAGTGAGATCATATAATTAGTATATGATACTAATTTTATTTCACTTAGCATAATATCCCCCAGGTTCATCCATGCTGTTGCAAATGGCAGGGTTTCCTCCTTTTCGTGGCTGAATAATATTCCACTGTGCATATATGAGAATTAAGAGAAAAGGTCAAGAGCCAGCGAGTTAAGATGTTCCCAGTAAGAGGACACATGAAGAGTCTGATTTGTGGCTTCTGGAGGGAAAAGAGAGGCGAATTCCAAACTAAATATACAACCAAAGAGTATCAACTCTGTATGCACAAGGGTGATTTTGTTTCCTGTAATAACTACAGAGGGTGCCAAAAAAATGTATACACATTTTAAGCAAGGAAAAAACTGTATTAAAATTACGCGATGGTAACCACTTTGAACACCTCTTGTAATTGCAGAAGTCAAACGTGAATTGTATTCATGCTTTGTTATCAGTATATATTGAGTATTACAATTTTAATACAGTTTTTTCTAGGCCATGAAGCCATAGCCACCTCTCTCCTACTCAGATTAACTAAGGGGCACCCATAGGACAAACGGCCCTTGAACAGAATGCCTACAGAGAAGTTTATATATGTATTTTATTTTCCCTCAATTTTTATTTTTTAGAAGAGTGAACATGCTAGAATTCTCTTAAGTGAAAAGCAGATAATCTGCATCTTTGTGATACCGCCTCCTCCATTTAAAGGCTTCCCTAGCTGTCTCCCCAGTTTCGAGGTTCCTCCTGGTCCCCCTGCCTAGCAGTGGCATACCTACTGAATCTCTCTCCTGCTGCGTCACTCCTGCTGCCTGTCACATCTCTGCACCCACCTCTTCCCCTCAAATCCAAATTCTACTCAACTGTCAAAACCCATCTATCCACACAGTCTTTTGAAATCCATACCGTGTTCTCTCCTTTGTTTACTCCTCAAGCACCCACATGATCAGCAGGCCTGTTTATCACTTCATCACTCTCTAAACATGGCAGTGAGTGCTTTAAAGTGAGAACCATGGCTAAGGACCATGGCTTATGATACTTTCCCCCCACCATCCCTCTTAGTAAACCCTGGAGCTGTAGTGCATGATTAATAAATATACAGTTGATTCCTAGTGGGTAAACAGGCAAGACAAGTCCTAGACCAATTGTATTATCTGCCCAAATTTTTACAGAAAATTACCTGCAGAAGAATCAAAATGACTCTAATAATCCTAAAAGCATCAAAATGTGACATCATGGGCCCAAGGTCACAAGCTGAGGTTTCTTAAGCTCAGCAGACTTTCTAGAAACAGAAACACTCACTCACTGTAAAGAAGCAGATGTTGAAAAACATACCGTCCAAGGTTCTAAGAATCTTCTTGTCTTTGGGGGTCAAACTGTGCCCAGCCTGACTGATAATCCAAACTGGAAAGCGTCTGTTTGTTAAAGAGTGCAACGCCTTTGCAAATGGCACATAAAAGGCAGAAAAACCTGGGTTACCTAAGAAAAGAAACAAGACTTTAGATTAACCAAAGCCATAGGCTCACATAAGATGATGTGCAGACTGGAAAAGGATTTATTTCTCCTCAAAAAATCTTGTAATATTTACACTGACACCTCAATTTTAATATCCTTTATTCCTGAAGTCTGGGAATGATCACTCAGAAAATTTCTGCTCCTGCTTTGTTCTCCAATTGATTCAAATAAATTCTTCATCCCCTTTCCTCAACTTAATAAACGGAACCACCAATCATAAGCCAAATACTCAAGTCCTAACACCAGCAGCCCTTCTCGGTTTCTCCCTGTTTTTCACATCCAGTTCACCAATGAGTCCTGTCAACTTTGCATCCAAAATACATCTCAACTTTGTCCACTTCTCCCTGTTAGTGTTATCACTTCCCACTGGGTTTCCTGAACAGCCTCCTAATGGGTCTTCTATCGACTCCTGTCCCCTTGGAATCCAATCTTTAGAGAACCCAGAGAGATATCTTCTAACCTCAAACCAAATCATAGCAGTGCCCTACTTAAACACCTTTCGGTGGCTTCCCATTGTCATCGAAGACTCTAAAATCATTAACCTGTAAGGCCCTTCAAGATTTGACTATCCACAGTTGCCAAGATGCAAGGAAACAAATGAGTGTAAGACTGATTCACAAGGAGAACTTTAAGGATTCTACTAAATGTTTCCTTGTCATTTATCAAAGTATTTGTATTGTAAACAGATGTATAATTTGATCTTTTGTGGTAAAGACCACCAAGCAATACAGTGGATTTTTCTTGTGTATGTACAGAGGGATTTTTGACATGGGTTTGCTATAGAGAAACAGAATGAATAAATGATTTTTTTAAAGAGTCAATCTGATACATTTTTAGGGGGAAAAGACAATGAAATGGGGTTTTCTTCTTGTGATCATCATCTGTAATACTGTCTTCATAGATACGAGTCCATAAATATCTATTTCTCCAATCAGCTTATCTATTTCTTTATGCTATTAGGTTTTCTCCTCTTTGCAGTTACATGACATTGGTTTTCCTGCACTGATGTAAACCTCTGCCATGCTTGTCAAATTTCACCAATTTCTTCTTCATTGCCTGTATCTTTTAGTAGAGCAGGAAAGTGGATTAGAGCACAGACTGCCTGGGTTGGAATCCTAGCTTTGCCACTTATTAAGGGTGGGACCTCTGGCAAGTTATTTACCCTCTCTGGGCCTTGGTTTCCTTGTCCATCAAATGAGGACAATAATCTCACTACCCTGTGTGAGAACTAAGTGAATTAATACATATAAACTACTTAAACACGGCTCGATACATAAGTGTTGTACAATGTTAGCTAGTCAAACTTGTCATCTCTGTCTATCTAGCCATGGCAATAATATATGATGGCCTTATCATTCATATTGTTATTTTGCTTCTGTTGCATTCTGACCTAATGACCCTAGTTCCAAATTCCTTTCAGTGTGGTGCTGGTGTCCTCTTTGTTAAATAGGGTGAAAACATCCTCAAATGCAGTAATATGCTCTTTGCTTAGCTGACTGACCACTGTGCAACTGGAGGAGAAAGAAGTATCAGCACAAGGACTGTCCCATCTACGGAGACGTGGATGACACTGTTTCATGTTTTACATTTAAATCTTTAGTAAGTGTGGAATATTTTTGAGGATAAAGTACAAAGTAGCAATCCAACTTCTTTCCAAGTGATTAGCCAAGTGTCCCAAGTACATTTATTATATAATCCATTCTTTCTGCATTGATTTGAAATGTCTTCTGATCCAATACTGCATTCTTACATTAGCTTGCTAATTCTGATTCCAAAATAATTCCACTTATTTTTTCCTTTTCTCTCTGCCAGCACCATACTGTCTTGATTACTACATTGTGTTTTTAACTGGCAGGGAAAATCCTTTCTCTTTATTTTTTTCCCCCTAAATTTTCTAGGCTAGCCTCATAACCTTTAGAATTATTTTCACCAGCTTCAATTTTAAAAAATCTCTTCGGAATTCAGATTGACACTTCATCTCATTAACACATTCATTTAGAAAGATTTGATATTTTTTACATTACTGAGTATAACCTTCTTGGACTGTGTTGTCTCATATTCAAATGTTTTATGTCTCTCAGCAAAGTTCTATTGTTTTCTTTACATGGCTAGAAAATAACAACAGCTAACATTTTTAAGTTCTATAACTTATTACATGCCAGCCAGCATTTAAGTGCTGTACATATATTAACTCATTTAGTCCTCACATGAGGTAGTACTATTATTATTTCCATTTTATGGATGAAGAAACTGAAGCATAGAGAGGTTAAAAGTAACTTGCCCAAGGTCACACACATGATAAGTGCTCAATAAATATTGGATGACTGAAATTATATACAAAAGAAAATAGCAATACTAAATTGAAAGAACATAAATTCCCTGGTCTGGGATGTCCTGCATACCCTGTTTTAGTTAACCTGACAACAGCTCTGTAAAGTAGTTGTCATTACCATTCGGGATAATGAATGGATGGCCACTTGCAAAATACTTAGTACAGAGTAGGCTCTGAATAAATGGTAGCTATTATTACTATAATTATCATATTTTTCATTTTTTATTGACTAAATTAGACATGTAACATTCTGTAAGTTTAAGGTGTACAGAACGATACAATCAAACCTGTCTACCATTAAGGAGAATCCATAACAAGGACATAATTTAGATGCAATAGTTACAATGATAGGACATATAAAACCAACGAGTACTAGATAACACAACTGCTATAAAGCAAACGTTTCTCCATATCTCTGAGTTTAAGTCTGAGTTTTTTCCCCACAATGCCTATAAGATCTTAAGCAAAGCCCTTAAGCTGGTTGATTCACTACTTTATCATCATCGAGTAAATGATAATGCCCACTTCTCCATTTTCATTCATTCTAGTCAGCACTATAGCTTCTTTGGCACATTCTTTTAGTTATCAATTATTTATTTATGTGGAAGTCACTGTGTTAGGCACAAGATAGAGAAGGGCCTTTCTGTAATTTATATTCTAGTAGGAGAATATGTACACATAACTAAATAAATAAGATAATTCCAGAGTGTGATAACTTCATGTGATAGAGAAGAAAAGAATTACAGTGGCCTGAGAAAAATGTCTGCGGAAGTGGCATTTAGCTAAGACCCAAAAGATGAGAAGAAATCAACTTTTTAAAGATTTGAGGGAAAAGCACACTAGGGCAGGAGAAGGACAGGTGCAAAGGTTCTCAACCAACAAACAGCTTGGCTCCTGAAGAGACAGAAGAGCCCACAATGGCCAGCAACATGAATTTCCAACTTGTAACAGACACAACAAAGGAAAATGTAATGCAGAATGTTTAAATGTCGTTGTGTGCTCCATCACTTAAATGTTATGGCTTATGTTATACTTTATGAACCATGAACTAAACTTCCTGGCGAGGAAGCCACAAAGAAAATTAAAAGGGTCTTGTTTATACAACTAAAACCATATATATATCTCCAGGTGTAGGGACATTTGAAACATTCCAATACAGTAATGTAAGCAAAAAATTTTATCAAAGGATATCGAAATGTATTGTAAACACATGCTTGAATATATATATAGTCAAATGCCCAGGCAACATATAACAGAGGCTGTGGTAATCATCTCTGGACTCCGATTGTCAATAAACTCTTAACTATTCAACATTGTAACTGTACACTTATGCCTTCCAATTAATCTTGTAGGGGACAAAAACTTCCTTATACTAAGTTGATGTGTCATAGCATCTATATGGAAGATTGTCACGTGGACAGAACTTTGGGCTTGTCCATGGAGCCTGGTCTGCTCCATCTCCAATCACTATACTCACAACACAAGACACATCACATGGTTCCATTATCCCCATATGACCATCTGAGAATTATAGTGAGTCAGTATGTTCTATAGTGAGTTCTCAAATTGCCTCTCTTTGCTCATTTCACTACTTAAAGAAAGTCCAAGGATATTGCTAGTTAACAGAAATTCTACAACAAAGGTTCACTTGGAAAAGATGAAACTAAAAGTTTCTCAATGTGTGGATTCCAATAAATCACTACTGATTATTAATACTAATTTAACAGTGGTAAATTAATTTTGCTAGCTTCAAAAGCAAAGTGATTTACAATGAAATGTCATGTCAGTCTACCAGAGATGGACTAAACATGTCTATAGCGGTTTAACAATCCTGGAAATACTGTCATCTTAATTTTCCCCATAGTAGAAACAGACTAGACCCTAAAAGAAAATACAATTCTGAGTCCCACAAACAAAGGAGCAGCACCAGCCTATAGCTTGCATGTACGCCATGATAAAGGGCCCAGGGCAGCAATGAGGACAGAAGGGCAGATATTCAAGAACACTAAATGTGATCTGCAAATGTCAAAGCACTGTAACATAATGACACAATAACGCAACAAATGTTTTCAGCTCCCCGTTCTCCATATCTTAAACGTGGCTCTCCCTAATATGGACTCTCTTCCTTTCAAGCCTCTGCCATAGAGACCTCACTATTCTCTAATACCTCATATGCCTCAATGAGAGCAGACTTTTGGAACCCAGTATTCCTAGCACCTAGTACAATAAGTGCTGGGAAGCAGAGCGAGCTGTCTGCTCCGCCTAACTAGCTCACCTTACTATAACAACCTCTTCGGCTCTAAGACTCAAGCCATCTACTTCCATCAACTTTTCATTCTTTCTCACACACTCCCTGAAAACCTTGACTCTTACTGACAGTTTCACTTGCCATTCCATGTCTTGGGTGATTTCAAAGTCTGGGTGGACTGACTGTGCCAGCACCTTTGTCCCATAATTCAACGAACCCTGAAAGCCAACCCCTAGATCAGGGGTGAGCATGTCGCAATCCCCTGCTGGGCTTGTTAAACACAGATTGTCCCATCCGCAAAGCTTCTGGTTCAGAAGGTCTGGGATGGGGCCCAAGGACTTGCATTTCTAACAAGTCCTCAGATGACGCTTCCGGTCCTGACGTCAACTTTAAGAACCACAGGCCTAAATCACTTAATTACATAAAAATGTTTAACATTCAAAGCATCCTAACTCTCTCTGATAGCTCTTCTCCAGCTCAATCTTGTGCCTTTTTGGACCTCACTCGCAATACACCCGCTATTCAATCACAGCACTGCTCACAATCTATCTACTTGTTTTTGCTTGGTAATTCCGTCCATCCTGCATATCTGCTATTCTCAACACTGACCACTTTCCAAGACCCCCAATCCACCCTCTGCCATCCTTACTCTCAACAGAACATCTCAACTCTTAATTAACAGAGAAAACAGAGTCGGGAGGCAGAACAACTTCACTCTCTCTGACACGCCTTCACACTTTTCCATTTCGGTTACCAATGTCACCTCCTGCACGCTAGCCTCAGAAGGACAGCCCTTCTCCAGTCCAAGATATTGTTTCTACTTATTTTCTCAATCCTATACTCCGCTATGGCCGCTAAAGCTCTGCTCCATCAAATAGCACTTGTCACGCCTATAATTTCAAACTCTCCCTCACTAATGGCAGAGCATATGTATTTTTAATTTCAGTAGATTCCAACAGACTGCTTTCCAAAAAGACTGTTACAGACTGGAAGTTTACTTCCAGAAGAGGTTAATTCAAAGGGAGATTTTGGATCAGGAAAGTTAGCCAGCTGAGAACAGAAGCACTATGCCGAGAAGAGGTTAAGTGTTATGAAACCCGGAGACTCGACCTCCTTTCCCTTGTTCAGCTTGAACATTAGCAGACAGGCTCCACTCCTCAAACAGGATACTGGAAAATTCCTTCCTGGGAAAACTGAACAATCCAAGAAACAGCTACAGATACTGAAAGGTGGAAATTCTCCAATGAAATGCTGGGTCCCTACCCAATCACCCCAAGCTGAGGATTACCTGGGGTAACCAACCATCCCGTTTTGTCCAAGACGGTCGTGGTTTTAGTACCGAAAGTCATGTGTCCTGTAAAACCCTTCAGATCAGGATGGGGGGTGTCACCCTAGGCACACCTGTGGATGAGCCCCAACCCTGAATACAAAGGTGATAATTAGTTTTTTGGGTCTTCCTCTTAAAAATGAAAGGGCAGTTAAGGATTACCAAACATTTGAAGAAAAACAAACACTAATACAAACAAACATAAAAAGGAATACAGAAAAAGCTCTTAAATGCAAAAAGCCAAAAAAAATGATAATGCACCCAGGAAATAGGAGGCTATAAAAAAAGAAAAAAGAGGACAGAACTTAGAATTGAAGTATATGAGTTTCTGGTTTAAAGGGTTCAACTAAACCCCAATACAATGTATGAAAAGACATCCATACCAAGGTGCTTCACTGAAAAATTTCAGAATCTTAGAACAAAGAAAAGATCTAAAATGTTTTTCTCTTTTTTTGAGGGGAGAAGCTTCACATACAGAAGATAAAAAATCAGAATGATATCAAGACTTCTCAAAAGCAGCTCTGAACCGTGGGAAATGACAAACATGCCCTCCAAATTCCAAGGAAAGATTATCCCCAACCTAGAAGTCTAAGGCATGTTCTGACATGCTAGATCTTTAAAAGATTACTTCCCATTCACCTCTTCTCCGGAGTTACGAGAAGATGTGCTCCACCAAATACAAGGGAACAAACCAAGACAGAAGAAAATGTGGGATCCAGGAAACCCAGAGAAATGTGGGATCAAAGCCAGAGAAAAGTGAAAGGAACCCCCAGGGTGGCTTGTGCAGCAGGCCTGGAGAGCAATGGGTCCAGGCTGGGGCCAAAGAACTGAGAGTGCTCGGGGGTGGGGGGACCGCCAAGAGAAAAACAAAACTGACTGATAAATGCACTGAGAGGATTTTTTTTTCGCTTCTAGGGAGTAATTTTAGGATAAATTAGTGATTAAAACATAGAAAATTAAGCAAATAAAAGAGACAATCATTAACCCAGAGAAAACAAACAAAAATATACAAGAAAAAAAATGTAATCATAACACTCCAGAGGCTTAGCTATATAAAATATAATATATGATACATACTGACAGCTCCATTTTTAATCTTTAAGGCTCATGTATACATGTGTTCAACTCATATGTAATTCAAAGTGTTTCGAATACCTACCCCACCCCTACATAGCAAGCGTCTGCCCTCATACTCTAGTAACATTGATCCAGCAAAAGTCACAAATGATCCAGTTGCCAAATCCTAGGATAAACATTCTATAGTAAACTTATAATCATCTTTAAATGAAACAAAAAAATTTATTTAGAAAACTTTCAAAAAATATTTGGTAAAGTTTTAATTAATCTAAAAATTATAAAATTCTAAAAAGCACATTACAAAATTATATGTATGGTATATTTCCAATTGTAATTTAAAATATATATATATACACACACAGAATATATATAATATAAATGCACAGAAGAAAACCAAAAAGCCCAGCCGCCAAACTCTTGAGGGTGGTTGTTATCAACGGTTCAAGCGATTTTATTTCCTTCCACAAGGTTTTTCATATTTACCAAATTTTCTTTGAAATCAGAAATCGTCATAGGTATCTGTATAAAGTCTCCCCATCCTGATTTTTAAACTTACCAGTAATAATGAAAATAAGCAGCTTAGGCCTGTTGGCAGTTTGGTCATTAACAAGGGCAGTCCAGGGCCCACATTTTAGAACCTGGGTTTCAACTCCACAACATAAAATGAATTCCTCATGCACGGAAATGTCTTCCTTGATTTCTGAGTCCATTTCTAAATAAGGGGAGAAAAACAATATCAAGAGTCACTAAAATGTAAAACCTTGAGCCAAAGACAATAGCCAAGAATAAAAAAGGCAAATTTCAACATCCTGAGCAGGAATGCCACAGGGTCATATGGGAGAGAGATGACTATTCAGCTATTCTGGATTATAGGACTGAAAAACAAAGCAAACCACAAGAGTAGGGAGGAACAGGGAGGACCGGGGAGGCGGGTCTTCGGTGAATAAGACTAGAGGAGTGTGAATCAAAATCAGATCAGCCTCCGCACAGCTCTCCTCTCCAGCCTACACTGACAGTAACCATGGGTAGCTTCCGCTTCCCCTCTGCTGGAATTCCCTTAGAGGACGTGCTAAGGGGAGACAGTCCCCCCACCTTCACCTGGTGAAGACTGCTGAAAATACAGAGGTTATGGCCCTTGTACTCGCCTAGACAGAACTGTAAAGAGGCTCAGGGAACTTAATAGTCTGCTTTTTTCTCCATTAATACCCTCATCCCCAATTCTGTAAGCACACTGTATGCATTATTAAAGCACTACATTACTAAATTATGAAATGGGTAGGTGGAAAACAACGGGATGAGACAGCATCATGAACAACTGCCTGAATCATCAAGGTGTGTGGAAAAGTGCAGCCCCAATGATTTAAGTGCACCACTCTTCCCGCCCTGCCCCCGCCTTCCCTCTGTCTCTCATCAGGACTAGTGCTCCAGCGTTCAGTGGTCTTTCTAGCCTCGTCTTCAGCTCTCCTCGGTTCATTCACAGCCCTCCCGAGTCCAGATTCCAAGCACCCGCGGAGAGTTCTCTGCTCTCACCACTTGACACTTCACCATTTTGCACTCCAGTCTGTCTTGGCCTTGCATTTCCTCAGTGTCCTCATGCTTTTCTGCTTCTATAACTTTGCTAATCTTATTTCCTGACCACTTCTGGGATGCTTCGCCTGCTTGTGCTGCTTATCAATTTATTGCCCCAGTTCCAAATTAATTCTTCATTGCCTTGTCTGGAAAAATGGATCTGGGCCTTTTAAATACTTTCCCTCTGCCAGCTGACATGATGTGAAACTTTGTTAGAAGGCTGCCCTGGAGACACTGCAGAGGAAGGGGGTTTCTTTCGGGGTTTCAATGTATCTCACAACAGGTTTCTGGAACAACTCCTTTTTTTTAACCCTCTCTGCTGCTCAGGCTGTGAAGTCTCGCTAGTGCAGTGATTTCCAACAGCAGACAATTTGTCTTCAGAAAACATATGGCAATACCTGGGAATAGTTTCCATTGTCACAGCTAGGGGAGACTTGGCATCTAGTGGGTGGAGGCCAGGGATGCTGGTAAGCACCCTACAGTGCACAGGACAGCGCCCCCACAACCAAGAATTATCTAGCCCAGAAGGTCAACAACGGTAAGGTTGAAAAAAACCCAAAGTCTGCTCTAGTGCCAGGTACGTATAGGGTCCAGCTTTCTCCAGCATTTGGGGGTGCTCCACACCTCCTCTTTCTCCAGCTTTTTACTCAGGAAGCAGCAGAGCAGCAAGAGTCCCAGATAGTGTTGGCTTGTGCCCCAGACCAGGTAGCTGCTCCCTGAACCCTCTGCTCAGTCCACACGCACAGTGGGGGCACTGCCACGCTGGCCTTCTAAAGAGCCAGTCAGCAGACCTTCGTTCCCATACAGCGGCCTGGAACTGCCCTGCCCAGTAGAGCTCTGGGTTGCCAGAGGGAGGTCTCTCCAAATCCCGTTGCAGTAGTACCCATAGCAGTGTCCCTCTGTACCCACCTGCCCGCCTCAACTCACCTGAGGGTTATCACTGTGGCCCTTCCAACACAGACACAACACATCTGCAGCAGCACCAGGATTCCCTGCACACCCTCCCACCGGAGTGGGCTCACCGGCTGACAAAGTGACTGTGGACCAGCTTTGGCCCAAAAAACCTACTAGGTTTCTCTACCATCCAGTGGGCTGCAACCACACCTTCTTCAATGAGATCTAAACCCACATTCTCTTGGGTACTTTCTCTCAGCCCTACATACCTTTTAGGGCTCTCATTATACAGTAACTTTATAGTTCCTCTCCTACCATCACTTAATAAGTCTTGATGTTAAACTAACCATTTAAGTTACTGTGTGGTTTCTGTCTCCTCATTAGATCTAGACTGATATATCCCCATGTATCTATCCAAATATTTCTCTTCAAATCTTTCCCATCTTAGACTCAGCTCAAATCCTACTTCCTACTTGAGGTCTTCCCTGAGCACCTCAAGTAAGGAAATCTCTTTCTCTAAACTCTTAGCACCTACCTTTATCATAAGTCAGCAGTGGTAAAGGCAGCCTGGTAAGCATTCCCTAGTAATCTATGCACTTGTTTGTTGGCGCCATGCCACACTCTCACAGCACAACTGTCAAGAATTCACTGCAAACACCACCTATCCCTCCCCTGACTGAACGCCTGAAGGTAAAATGCAATGGTGGCTAGGATACAGTGAAACGGGAGGTTCTATACATTGATGGTAATAATGAAAACAGCCTTTACAAAGCAACCTGGCCGAACAAGACAATATCCATAAGGCATAAACTTGGATGCAGTCACTTTGGGGGAATCAATTCTAAAAAGGAAACAAAGATATTCTCTGATGAAGAAAAACTAAAGGTATTTGTTACTAGCAGATTTATCCTTAGGAAATCCTCCAAATGGAAAGGAAGTAAGTGAATAAGGTTTAACTTCAGAACAGGAAGAACAACGGAATGGGTGAAAGTCGTGGTAAATATAATGGACTATCCTTCTCCTCATGAATTTCTTAAGTCATATTTGAAGGCTGAAGCAAAAATTATGGCATCATTTGATGTGGTGCTCAATGTATGTAGAGGAAATATGACAATTATATTTAAAAAGGAGGGGGTAAAAGGACTTAATGTAAGTAAGGTTTCTAGACTTCACTGCAGGTAGCAAAATGCCAGTACAAGTAGGTTGTATGGTAAGTTATGTATGTATATTATTATACTTAGGACAACCATTTAAAAAAGTGTACTAAGCAATAACATACTCAATAACATACATATTCTTTTTTAAAAGAATAAATGCATAGAATGCTATGTATAACACTGAAGAATTGAAGAACCTAAATGGCCATTAATGGAAGAATGGTTAAGTAAATATGATAAATCATTACATAGCCACTAAAACAATTCATATGATTCAACATTAAGGAAATGATTAAATAAGCTGTAGTTCAATCTTATGATCAGCTATTATGTTCCATCAAAACTGCTCAGCTCTGCTAAATAAGTATAATTTATCCATCTGCTTTCCAACATTTCTAAAATCTCACTTCTCTATTCTGATGTGATGCTGCCTCTTCCATTTTCTTTATTGATACCTTTATTACTTTTACTGTCATTTTAGTGGACTTAGGAAGGGAGAAGAAATAAACCTATATATACATATTTTTTTTTTACCTCCATGTGTAACCAAAAGTCCAAAATGGATTTTCTTAAATAAAGCTACTTAGAAAATAAAAGATTCTCACTTAGAAAGTGTGGACTCCTTTCCATTTAAAATATACTGGCTGACTAAATAAATCAAAGTATCATCTTACCTTTCCCTATAGATTGATTTTTAGTTCACTAATAAATGTAACTGTAACCCAGTCTCCACAACTATCACAAAACATAGTATATTTACAAAGGTCATATGACATTGCTAAAGTATTAGAAACAATATTAAATGTAGCTATTATACACAGTATTAGATTAGAGAACTGACAGAGAAGACGCTGGCTTACCTTAATACTTGCACCAGAAGAGAAGCCAAGTTATTAACTATATTCAATTCACAAATACTTAACTTCAAGTAAATGACATCTGAGAAGTTTGATTATCCACAAATTAATGAGAAATCAAGTATATATGAAACTTGAGCAGAGTCTATAAAAATTGGACAACAAAAAAACTGGAACTCTAAAACACCTCCTCAATTAAACACAACTAAGAAACTTGGAGTTTATGTATTTAAAAAGTATTTTTTTATTTAACTTCACTCTTATGTTTCTGAATCCCACACAGCTAAATAAAAAAGAAAGGAAAACTTAAAGTATGAGAATTCAAACTGTTCATTATCTAAGAATCCAAGGTAATTCAGTCTGCAAACAAGTGTCAGGTGAATAAGAGTTCTAATGATACATTAAAGGCTGATGGTCCTGCTTTCAGCCACAGCCCACAAGCAATCTTTAAAGAAATCAGTTTTGATAAGCAGCCAAGACTGAGGCAGGATAAAAACCAAGTGTGAATAAAATTTGCACAACTAGGCAAGCCTTACTTATGAAAATATACAGGTATTCATTTGCTTATATTAATGAGTTTTTAATTGTACTTAGTAAAATATTTTTTTCCAATTAAATCTTATACAAACCTAGATAATATATAAAACAGAAAAGCAGTATCAATTTTAGAGCTTCAAGTTTATAATATTTATTTATTATAAAGTCAGCCACACAAGGACACACAAGGAAATAAAGTGAAACAATGTAAAATAATATACCACACAAATACTAATCAAAGGAAATATGGGGTAGCTATAATGAAATCAGATTTAAAAAGTAAACTTTAAAGTAAGAAGTACATGAGAGATAAGCAGGGACATTTCATAATGACAAGAAGTCAAAGAAAATTTGAATAACCAAGTCAGAACCATCGTATTTCAGAAATCAGCCCTGCCAACCAACCCTACAGCCTGGCTTCTCTGTTACCACACAGAGCACCAATACTTCCCCAGTCACCTAACTCAAAAGCTTCTTTGACAGCTCCTGCTGTATTTTAGGGAAATACCCATAGGCAAGAAAAACAGAAGCCAGCAAAAGAATGAAAAGGAACAATGAGAAATGGGCGTGAACTAAGATATATGAAGTGATGTGAGCTAGAATGGAATTCTTCGAGAACGTTAGGGGCTGGTAACGAAAGTTTTAAAACATATAAATGTCAAAGAGCAAGAAAGCTGAGGCATTAGTAAGAACTCATT